TGATTGGTTGGGCTTGAATAGCATCATAAGCTTTATCAAAGGTTCTAGATGGTTTCAACTCTTGGTCTTTTAATAATATGGTAGCATAATGGGCCTGATGGCCTAAGTGGATCCCCTTGGGATCGCCGGTATAACCTAACCTGACCTATTGGTTGGGTATATTACTGATCAGATATATTTAAAGGATTCCACTTGCACAAAATTATTGTCATCTATTTGAATAAGATAATTTGCGGATTGACGATTACTTAAGTATTTCGGATTGTTTTGGATATTTCGCTTTGGCGGATTGTTTAAAACTACTGTAACTCTCGCTTAATGTTGGTATATATTCTATAAAATCTAAACGCAATAATAACTTATGAAGACAACAAATGTTGAAAGATACATATAATGAAAAATTGTGTACCATATTAATTGAAAGACAGAGATAAAAAAATTGGAAATGGATTTGTGAGTTATTACTTAAAAATTATATATTTTTTGTATCTCATAGCTTCTGATGATGAATAATGGATTCATTGCGATAACACAAAGTATAAACTAGTGATGTTAGACATAATCAGCCAGTCCAAAAAAGCATCTAGATTTATTCTTTCTACATCCTTTCTGATAAAATATTTATTATGCGACTAAATATCATAATGTCTTAAACTTTTTAAAGAAATAAATAACAACCAATTAAACAAAAAATTAAATAAATCTATGCGGTTAACAACAATAACGATTAATAAATCAACTAATTTGAAGTCGTAAATAGGAAATACCTTGTAATTTACTATATAAGTAATTTTTTATAAATTCAAATTTCTAAAATTATCTACAACTCGAATTCACTATATAATTATACCTATACGTATATATTTTATACTTTGTATTTCTTGTTACTTAAAACACAATTTTTCATATTTCAGTTTCCCGCCATCGGTCAACTCAGGTCATGTTGTTTTTGTTAATTTCGAAAAAAAATTCATACATTTGTTAATTTTTTATCAGTAAAAAATTAAACAAAAACAAAATATATAAGTATTTGTATATAAAATCAAAATACATATATGTGAGTTAACAAATATTCATATGTGAGCAATACATCTTACATATACTGCATGTATTTACATAAGAGCTCTAAGGTCACTATAATTAAGTCATTTTGATTCGTAAACTAATGAGTATTCACATATTTTTTTATAATTGTATAAGCACTGAAAGCTCTATATGTAGTTTGTAGAACAACATATTAACGACTTGTTATGTACAGACTTTTTATTTCTATTATAAAATATATAATTGAGATTTATAAACACTTCGGCCCTAAGAAAACTCTAGCGAAGGATATATAAATATATATATATATGTGGAATATATTCGTTTATTTTTTGAAATTTGAAATCATAATATTATAGAAAAAAATTTTAATACAATTTGAAAAAATTTAAATCTATCTTATATTTTTACCTACAAATCTACTCAGAACGATACAAGTGAAAGTCAACAGACCTTCTGTACAACGTATGAGTAATTTCTTTAATATTATGTGATGACAAATCATAGCAGCAGTTGACATAATTAAAAATTTTTAATTATTACAAATTATTATTAGCAATCCTGAACCATTTAATTCTGATCATATTTTTGGTTCATTCAAAAAAAAAACAAAGAAAAATAAAAAACATTTTAGAGAAAAAAAGTCGAACTGGTCACAATCTTCTGGCGATCTACTCTATGGTAGATAACATAGTTTGACGAAGTAGATCAATAAGTTAGGGCCCATGTTATGTAGAGTATAAAATTTGTTGTTCTTTTCAATGCAATTTAAAAAACTGAGAGTGAGAGAAAAAAACAAATTGCGATATAAATTCGTCCATGGCTGCCAAGGTTTTCCATGCTTCGACACTCAGTCAAATATCTATGTATACATTTCCTTTAAAATTTAAGTAAAGCCAAAAAGTACAAAAGTAATAGTAAAAATACGAAACTGACAAACTGATATGACACTTTCCATAACATGCATTTTTGTCATATCCCGAATGAGTCAATTTTGACGTGCCCGTGACACTATATAATGGGCCTATAGGATATTTATGATTAACTTACTTTCTAAAAATCAAGTACTAGTTTTTAATTTTTTTTATTTAATAGAGAGATTTCGAAAACTAGTGAACTACAACAACAAAAATTCTTTTTTTATATTATTTTACATAATTGAATTTTTGGCTGACCATACAGCTGTTTTGAGTATTGACAAATACCCATCATCAGTGGTCTTGAAATTATTTCTTATATTTAATTATTCGAAATAATCTTTTTTGACCGGAAAAGAGAAAGTCAATGCTACATCTCAACTGTTTTAAGTCACTGTATGAGACCTGGACTTTTAATTTTTCTAAAGTTGTGAAGCAGCAAGTCATATTTGCGGAAGCCTATTTGTTGCCGAACCTCCTGGGATGGATTGGGTAGTGCCTGAGTTAGAACGTTCGGGTGACTGCCACAGTAGTAAATGAATTAAAAACTATTGGATGATAGTCGAATAAATTCAAAAAACTAGTTGAGATTATGAGTGTTACGCTTGAACATATTTTAAAAATATAGTATGATATCTCTGAGAGAAAACTTTCCAATCATTGTGGAAAACATTTCCAAGATTTTGTTAGGATTAAAGCAAAACAAAGGAGTTTTAGATTTACGCAGATATCTAGCTACTAATAAAAATTTTTACTATGAATAAGAATGCGAATGAGTTCCGAAGAAGACGAAGACTTTACTTAAAAAACACACATTTAAACGTATGTGTTATACGTGAAAGGATTGGTCAATCCTTTTTGGCGCCAACCAAAGTTGTCCCGAAGCTAATGTGGACTAATTTTTAAATAACAAAAATAGTAGTGATAATGTAAAAATAATTTCTTCTTTGTGTGTTATTAAAATGCATTAAAATGCAATTTTAAAAGGATTTATTTTAAAAATATTATATTAATTTATGTTATTTATTATAACATATTATTTATGTACCGAAAACCATTCATGTACCTTATTAAAACTTTCTAATTGTGATATTTATCTCATTATATATCAAATTATTACACGTGGATAAATAGGGGACACTACAAATTCGTCATTTTAAACGATCGTACTTATTTTCTTAATAAATTTATACTTTTAAAAAACACATATGTATCTATTATTATTATTTAGTAAAAATCACCTGTTAGTTGTGTTTTTCCCTTTCGAAGTCTCATATACGTTTTTACATTACGTTTTTAAGTAAATATTCGCAGATGATTCACTTTCGTTAATTTTTTAAATAAATAAATAATGTTATTATCTGTTATGTATATTAAATTTAGATATTTATAAATGGATGACCAGTCAATATTAAAAAAATCATACAATTTTAAATATTTATAACAATGAATAATTTTTATTAATAAACTTGAAGAAAGTTAGATTTTTATTACACAAAATTTAAAATTTGTTTTGCAAAGTAAAAATAATACTATATATAAGAACTTATATTTATATTATATCAGCTTTCTTGATTGCAATAGAGCAGTGGGACCTAAAGATCTATTATACGTTTTAAGAAATCATTAAAAATTTTCAAGACCTTCTCTAAAGTTCATAAATTTTATCAAATCCGGTAAAATCACAAGCTTGATCGTATAATAAAGGGGCAAAATGTGATAAAGTACATAAAATATTATGTATCTTTAAGATAGTTAGGATATGTACAAAGAATGCACCCAAATCATTGGCAACCAAAAAACTCAAGTGAGCAATTTGACAGATAAAAAAAAAAATTCCACATAATCGATGTGTAGTTGAAGATTTTAATAAAATATGTGTGTGTGATCAAAGACCAATCGCATTAGATTATAGAAAATTTATTACATTGGCTATGCAGAATAATTAATGTAACATAATTCATGATATTTAAATGCCTCATACTTAGTAAAGATAAGCCATTATTTAGATATTGTGATTTATAATAAACGCATCATAGCTTTACTCCTTCATCCAATATTATTTTTTCCATGCTTTAACTGAAAGAAACCGACACTTAATTCATATGCAGTGTATTACCTGTGTTGTTTGTTCCTTGATCCAAATAATGAAATAAATCATATGATAGATGATGGTTTACTTTAACATTAAACGCATCTGTTGATGCAAATATCAATGCCTACACTTAGAAACCCATTGTGATGTTTTTAAAATTGCCAG